TAACAGAGACAGATGTAAGTCTTCGTTTAGAAAACGAAAATCAAACAGCTAGAGAGCTGCCAATTAGAGACGCTTAGAGCTTTGATGGCCACAGCGATCCATTGATCCCAGATCTATCATCCTCATTTCTCCGTGGGATGCTCAGGAGTGGTGCTCCCATGACTTTTAAAGGCAACCCAGGTGTTGAGAAACAAAATAGAATAAAATAAGAGTTGGAAGGGACCTTGTAGGTCATCTAGTCTGCTTAAGCAGGAGACCCTAAATACCATTTCTGACAGATGGGTTTTTCCTTCTTCTGACTGGAGAAAAATGAGACCCCTTGATTCCCCCCCCTCCCCACTGTATGTGATGCTTCTCTCCGAGATAGGCAGTTTTATCCTGTTTTCTGCTGCTTTGATAATGGCTCATTGTAGTGTTGGCATTTGATTGATTTTTTCATAGCCTGAGCTGCTTAGACAGCTAACTGGCTGAAAAGTGCATCATAAATGATGGGAAATACATGGAGGCAGAGGAAAGGAACCAAGGTTTAATTTTCTAGCCTAGGTTTCCCGAGGCTGCTGCTGGAAATAAGCGTATACAGTAGATACAGGTAGTTCTTGAATGTCAACAGTTCGTTTAGTGACCGTTCCAAGTTACAACAGCACTGAAAAAGGGGACTTATGGCCGTTTTTCACACTTATGACCTTTTGCAGCATCCCCCTGGCCACGTGATCCAAATTCAACTGGCATGGACTTATGACGGTTGTAGTGGGGTCACTTCATCCCCTTTTGCAACCTTCTGATGAGCAAAGTCAATGGGGAAGCCACATTCACTTAACAACCGTGTGACTAGGTTAACAATGGCAGTGGTTCACTCAACAACTGTGGCAAGAAAGGTCATAAAATGGGGCAAAACTCACTTTTTTTTTTTTTGCTTTCATTTATATGCCGCCCTTCTCCGGAGACTCAGGGCAGCTTACAATGTGCTAAGCAATAGCCTTCATATTTTTGTATATTTATACAAAGTCAGCTTATTGCCCCCACAAACTGGGTCCTCATTTTACCTACCTTAGAAAGGATGGAAGGCTGAGTCAACCTTGAGCCTGGCGAGATTCGAACTAGCAGTAATTGCAAGCAGCAGATGTTAATAACAGTGCTTTAGTCCACTGTACTACAGGCTCTTGGTTAGGGTTAGGGTTAGGGTTAGGGTTAGGGTTAGGGTTAGGGTTAACAACTGTCTCGCTTAGCAACAGAAATTTGGGGCTCAATTGCTGTTGTATGTTGCCTACCTATCCTCTCTCTCTCTCTCTCTCTCTCTCTCTCTCTCTCTCTCTCTCTCTCTCTCTCCCTCCCTCCCTCCCTCCCTCCCTCCCTACCTACCTACCTACCTACCTATCCCATCCATCCATCCTTCCTTCCTTCCTTCCTTCCTTCCTTCCTTCCTTCCTTCCTTCCTTCCTTCCTTTCCTTCCTTCCTTCCATCTTTCCTTCCTTCCTTCCTTCCTTCCTTCCTTCCTTCCTTCCTTCCTTCCTTCTTTCCTTCCATCCACCCACCCACCCATCCATCCATCCATCCATCCATCCATCCATCCATCTATCTATCTATCTATCTATCTATCTATCTATCTATCTATCTATCTATCTATCTCTATCATTAAGTGTTGTACCTTATGATTCTTGATGAACATATCTTTTCTTTTATGTACACTGAGAGCATATGTACCAAGACAAATTCCTTGTGTGTCCAATCACACTTGGCCAATAAAGAATTCTATTCTATTCTATTCTATTCTATTCTATTCTATTCTATTCTATTCTATTCTATTCTATTCTATTCTATTCTATTCTATTATTCTATTCTATTCTATTCTATGCTATGCTATGCTATGCTATGCTATGCTATGCTATGCTATGCTATGCTATTCTATGCTATTCTGTTCTGTTCTGTTCTATTCTATTCTATTCTATTCTATTCTATTCTATTCTATTCTATTCTATTCTCTCTCCATCTCTAAGCATTCTGATTTTGCCTTTTTGTGGACCAAGCCAAAGAACAGGCAAAGCCAACGCCGTCTGTGTGTGCTCGTTCATCCAAATAAATTGGTTAGCGAGCCAACACATGCCCACACAGCGCCTGTGTATAATAACACAAACACACTCCCCCACAACCCCGCATCCTGCGGCCACTTTTGTAAACATGCCCTGAGGTGAGGGAAATGGTAATAAGGAGAATAATCTCATAGCACATTGTCTCTGTCTTTACAGAGGCATCTCTCATTCGAGACAATATGCTGAATTTCACAGCGGTTTGGGGGGAAAAAAAGTCCTTGACATTAATAACCGTAGAACTGAAAGATTATTCACACTTTAGTTTACTCTGCCATATTGTTTTAAATTAGTTTCTGTAGTTTTGGGAAATGTTAATACAAACATCCTTTCACGATATATATAATATAAAGGATCTTAAATTTAAGCTTAGAGCATCGGTGACCCATCAGAACTACAAAACCCAGTTGCTGGCTGAGGCTGATAGGAGATAGAGTCCAATTACAGGTAGTCCTCAACTTACGACTGCAGTTGAGCCCAACATTCCTGTTGCTAAGTGAGGCATTTGTTAAGCGAGTTTTACAACCTTTCTTACCACAGTTGTCACGTGAATCACTGCAATTGTTCACTTAGTGACACGGTTGTTAAGTGAATCTGGCTTCCCTGTTGACTTTGCTTGTCGGAAGGTTGCAAAAAAGAATCATGTGACCCCAGGACACTGCAACCGTCACAAGTACATGCCAGTTGCCAAGCCTCTGAATTTTGATCACATGACCACAGGGAATATTGCAATGGTCGTAAGTGCGAAACACAGTTGTAAGTCATTTTTATGAGTGCCGCTAAATGAATGGTTGTAAGTTAAGGAGTACCTGTACACCTAAAAGGCCACTTTTAGGTTTCTCTTCACCTTCTCAACGTTGCCATGGGTGTTTCCGCCAAATCTTGTAAAGTTCGGATAGTTTTAATTTACTGTTTCAAGATGCAGGAATTATTCCTCTGCAGGGACTCTTGGCCGGTTTTGATCCGCGAGTCAATCACCTCACATAACTTTTTAAAAATTATTATGATTCATGTTTACTCATGTTTTCCCTTCCCTCTAACATGAGTAAAGAATCTGGAGAGATTCTTGGAGTTTACGTAACTGGTTTTTTTTTTCTCAAAAAAAAAAAAAAGAGGTTGTTAACTTGTAAATGTGATTATACAATCCATATATAGAAAGATGGCAAACGGTCTATGTTTTTCTTGTAAAAATGTTTTTTGTCTTGTAAAACTTTTTAATAAAAAAAAATAAGTCTGGGTGTTATTTTCTTTTGGGCTCCAAAATAAGCACTAGGGCTTATTTTCAGGGGTGCCTTATTTTTTTCCCATGTACAGGAGGCCCACTTCTTCTGCTTGCTCACCACAGGACAGGACGTCACGTGGTGCACCATTCACACCACTGCAAAGTATGGGGGTGGAGCTGCCCCACATGCCCCACACCAGCTTAACTCAGTGCCCCCACAGCCAGGCCATCCATGCCCCGGCACCTGCCTTGCCTCGCGGCCTCAACACCAATACACCACTCAACCTCCTCTGTGAGCAAGCAAAAATGGGCCAGTGGCAATGTGGGCTCCTTTGCAAATGGCTGCTGGTGCTGCCGATGTGAGGGACAGAGGTCTTGGGGCGTAGATGGCCTGGCTGTGGAGGCCCTGAGGCAGTGGTGGGTTGCCCCCAGTTCAGACCAGTTTGCAAGAACTAGTAGTAAAACTGGTGGGAGGTTCACTCACCAACCCCAAAGTCATCAGGATGCTTCTGTGCATGCGCGCGCGCGGCCCATTGCGAACTGGTAGTAAAGATAAGTAGAACCCACTCCTGCCCTGAGGTAAGGTGGTGCGGGGCATGTGGGGCAGCCCCACCACCCTCATGCCTCAACTTCTGGTCACAACACCGTGAGCAACCAGATGGAATGGGACGGTTGAGTGGCTACACAGGCTTTTAAGTAGGGCTTATTTTGGCGGTAGGGCTTATTTTAGGTGCATGCATAAAAACACTCTAGGGTTTATTTTCAAGATAGATCTTATCTTTGAGGAAACAGCGTACACGATATCTGTTATTTTTTTAAAACATGGTTTGCTGTTTGCTTTGACACGCTTTTAAAAAGCACCGTTCAGTGAGAAGGTTAAAAGTTTTTGACAAGCAGCTTTTTTTTAAAAAAAGAAAAGCGTTGCCTAGAAGCATTTATGCAAAACTTCGGAGCCCTTCCTTTGTGGCGGTAAAAAAAAGTCGATGCACACATTAATCCGGGCTGCTGTCAGATGCCTGACGATCCCCTCTGTCCACCTCGAAGGAAATAATTGAAGGAGATGTCTTGTGAATTCTGTCTCGGAAAAGATTACCTTGTTATACAACATTTTAATCTATAAAAAAAAATCACAACAAATATAGGGAGCATTGATTTGGTCTTTCTGGCGGGCTCCGTTCCCCCTTGAAAGACCACAAAGGCACTATTGGATCCCTGTGTAACAGATTAACAGAGTGGGAAGGGACCTTGTAGGTCATCTAGTCCAACCCCCTTCCCAAGCAGGAGACCCTCCACCATTTCTGACAGGTGGCAGTCCAGTCTCTTCTTGAAAGCCTCCAGTGATGAAGCTCCCACAACTTCTGAAGGCAACTTCCGTTCCATGGGTTGATTGTTCTCCCTATCAGAAAATTTCTCCTTATTTCCAGGTTGAATCTCTCCTTGTTCAGTTTCCATCCATTGTTCCTTGTCTGGCCTTCAGGTGCTTTGGAAAATAGTTTCAAGCATTCCATCTGACACATCTAATGTGATAAAGTTTCCAATTGTAGATGGTCTTTTATTTTGGATTTTAGTAAACATCCTGATAAGGTTTCTCTGTTTTTAATTCAATGGGAAATAAAGTTCCTTGTTGTATCCATGGCTCATTGTGCAGATAATACCTGTGATTCCTTAACCTTTTCTTTCTTTTACAATACAGGAACTGCAAGCAAACAGAAAACCACAATAACGCAGCCCTTGCTCATTAAATGTACCTGCTTCGTCGGAATCCCACGAAAAACAGAAAATAGGAGAAAAGGTAAAATATTTTACAATTTTATCTTGACAGGAACCTATTAAGGGCCGTGTGTGCTTTTCACACCGAATACACAGTGTACTTTTGTGTCCCAGGACAATATCTCTGCTTAATGAGGAGGGGATATGTTAATGTATAATACATTCGGGACTAAAAATAGTTTTGAGGACAGAAAGAGATTTTGCAGCTTCACAATAAAATATACCAACAACGCGATGCATAAATAGTTGCGTAGTTTTTTGCCTCCATGCATTGCATTTTTGGCTGGTTCCAGGCGTCGCAACATTCAGTATATAAGATGCACCACAATTTTCACTCATTTTTTTGGGGGGGGAAAGATGCATCTTATACTCCAAAAAGTAGGGTACATGGTGTTACCTTGGTTAGAATGCAACATTGCAAGTTGACTCTGCCCACATGCCAGGAGTAAGGTTGGCTCAGCCTTCCATCCTTCCGAAGTTGGTCCAATGAGGACCCAGATTGTTGGGGGTGAGAGACCAACTCTGTAAACCGCTTAGAGAGGACTTTAAGGCACTGTGAAAGGGTATATAAGTTTAAGTGCTACTGCTATTGCTATTCCCCCACATAACATGGGCAAAATAAATGAGAGAGTTTCATAATTTAGCCTTCCTTTGATACGCCTGGTATTGTATGCCCTCCAGGATTTACGTGTTGGTCACCACAGCTCAAGCGCAACAATTTTCTTCCCGTCTTGCTTTTTCAAGGTCCAACTTTTGCAACTAATTTTTCCAGTCCCTTCAGCCACTCTTCTTTTTTTTTCTTTTCATATCTTCCTGCAAACCATGCGTGGCCCTTGAACTGCATTATCCTGCAAAACTTAAACACGTTAGCTGGTATTTCATGAATGCCTGAAGCTTTGCTGTGGGCTGTTAACCCTACTTTCTGCCTTTACAAAAACTGCTAAGAAATCTTTCAGTAGCTGTTTGGAAAACAATGGCTTTATTCATGTTTTAATCTACCTTTTCTTATCTCCTGGTCTCTTTTGTTCTGCCTGTACCGTGTCCAAATTCTGTGTCGCCACAATGACAACTAAGCGAGGGATGATGGAAATACGGCTATTGTTCTACCAATCTGTAGCCTTTTGTAAATTTGCTTGTAATTTGTTTAAATAAACACCCATCTACCTTGTAAAACAATACTTGAAGCCTTGTTGCTGGAAATATTTTTTGAGGAAGCACTTAATTTCATTTTCTGGAATGTCTGGCTTGGTTTCATGATCAAACCTTTGTTTGTAACATTAATTTTGAGATCTTTTTGTATACAAGTAGTTATTGAGTTAATTGTTCTCACTCTCAGGAAATTTCTTCTTAGTTGTTGCTTCTCTCCTTGATTGAGTTTCTACCCATTGCTTCTTGTCCTACCTTCAGATGCTTTGGAGAATAGCTTGGCTCCCTCTTCTTTGTGGCAGCCCCTCAAATACTGGAAGATTGCTATCATGTCTCCCCTAGTCCTTCTCTTCATCAAACTAGACATACCCAGTTCCAGCAACCATTCTTCATATGTTTTAGCCTCCAGTCCCCTATTCCTCTTGGTTGCTCTTCTCTGCACTCTTTCTAGAGTCTCCACATCTTTTTCACAATATGGTGACCAAAACTGGATACAGCATTCCAAGTGTGGTCTTAATAAGGCTTTATAAAGTGGTACTAATACTTCATGTGATCTTGATTCTATCCCTCTGTTAATGCAATTTAGGATTGCATTGGACTTTTTGGCTGCTGTCGCACACGGCTGGCTCATATTTAAGTGATTATCCACTAGGACTCCAAGATCCCCCTCACAGTTACTACTATTGAGCAAGGTACCACATATTATTGTCACTGAAGTCCATATATTTGTGGTTTTTTTAAAAATTTATACTTATCTTCTGCCCCCTTTGCAGATCTCCAGCCTTGATAGAGCCAAACTTTTTCATAAATTGACAAAATCCATATTTAAGACATGACCAAGTGTATTCAGCAATATTTGAGGACCCAGTTTGTGGGGGGCAATAAGCTGACTTTGTATAAAATATACAAAAAGGAGGAAGGCTATTGCTGAGCACATTGTAAGCCGCCCTGAGTCTTCGGAGAAGGGCGGCATATAAATCAAATAAAAAAAAAAAAAGGGCTGCGAACAGATTCCTGTTTACTACACTTAAACTCTAAGCCTTCTCAAGATTTCAAAGGGGTTGTACACCCCCTAGGGGATGCGGTGGCTCAGTGGTTAAGATGCTGAGCTTGTCGATCGAAAGATAGGCAGTTCAGCGGTTCAAATCCCTAGTGCCGCGTAACGGGGTGAGCTCCCGTGACTTGTCCCAGTTTCTGCCAACCAAGCAGTTCGAAAGCACACAAAAAATGCAAGTAGAAAAATAGGGACCACCTTTGATGGGAAGGGAACAGCGTTCTGTGCGCCTTCGCCATTTAGTCATGCCAGCCACATGACCACGGAGACATCTCCGGACAGCGCTGGCTGTTCGGCTTTGAAACGGAGATGAGCTCTGCCCCCTAGAGTCGGGAACGGCTAGCATGTATGTGCGAGCGGCACTTTATACACCCTCTAAACAGCCCAAAATATGACATTTCCCCCCCTTCTAGTTCCATAAGAATCATCCATTAAAAAAAAACTAAACAGAAGTGAATAATAAAAGTTGAAAATCTGTTGATGAAGATCCAAGATCCCCCTCCCAGTTACTGCTGTTGAGCCAGATTTCACCCAATCTGGGACAGTAAATAAATAGGGATAGTAATTTCGATACCTTCTGGTTAGCCTGTCTCCGTGAGTATGATCCATCTCGGAGAATGATTCTTATTATTCAGCATCTCCTTTTTCTTGCATTTGAAAGTGTATTTTAATCACCCCATTTATTTTTTAGAAAATAAATGTGTTGAAGTGTTGGGCAGCCGGCATGGTCCCGAGCTATGGTAAAATTCATTGGGTTGCAAATTGTGTCGTTTTTCTATATTTGCAGTTGTGCTAAAGGTTCGACTCTTTTCTTTTTTTTCCTTTGCAAATATGTTGGGGCTGTCACTTCTGGGATGCAAAAATTCAGACAGATGGCAGATGGCAGGGGGGAAAAAAAGAATACAAAAAACTGTTTTCATGGATATCTAAAGATTGTCTGAATATTTCCAGCCCAAATGAAGCAACCCTAGGAAATGCAATGATTGCAAATGTTTATGGAAATTCTCAGTCATCCAGGTGCTTTTTCAAAAGGCACTTCATTTTTCCTTGAAGACGTTTCACTTCTCATCCAAGAAGCTTCTTCAGTTCTGACCAAATGGTAGGGGAATGGAAGGATTTATATTCTTTGCAGTCATCTGAGCATTAGTACTCTTTCTGAGAGTTGTTGAGGCCACTTGGAGGTCTATCTGTGTCCTCAGGGTCACCTGAATAGTGCAAATGGGTGTGGAGCCTTTTTGGAACTATTGAAAGGACTGTGTTGTAGTCAGGAGATAGATGGTGTTGTGTCCTTCCCCTTCGGTTGAGAGAGGGCTGTTCAATCTTAACACAGAGGACCTCTTTGATCCTTCTTTCAAGCCAGTGGCCCTCTCAGTCCACTAAGGCAGAAGCTTGTCCACCCCAAGGATAAAACATCCAGACACAAACAGAGCATTGTGATATATGCAGTAGAATGCAGTGAGCCCTGTGCAGATCTGTACATTGGAGAAACAAAACAACCATTTCACAAAGGCATGGCACAACATAGGAGAACAAACCTGCCAGGACCGGATTCAGCAATCCATCTACATTTAAAAGACAAAAGTCACTCTTTTGAAGATGGCAACATCCACATTCTGGACAGAGATGACCGCTGGTCTGAAAGTGGGGTTAAAGAGACCATTATGTCAAAACTGAACAGCCCTCTCTCAACAGAGGAGGAGGGATACAACACCACCTACTCCCTGTTTACAACACAGTCCTTTCAGCAGTTCCAAGAAGGTTCCATACCCATTTGCACTATTCAGGTCACCCTGAGGATATAGGTAAACCTCCAAGTGGCCTCAATGACGCTCAGAAAGGGTACTAATGACACAGATGACTGCAAGGAATATAAACCCATCCTCCATCATTTAGTCAGAACTGAAGAAGCTTCTTGGATGAGAGAGCGAAACGTCTTCATGGAAAAACAAAGTCCAGTTGCCTTTTCGGATAACTATTGTAAATCCTTCCCTATTCTATTATTTTTTTTGCTGGTAAATAAATTGTTATTCCCATAGGTGCCATCTCTGGCCCTTTTCATGCAGGAAGAACTGTAGTGCGTGACATGAGAGTTCCTGAAATATTTTGGTTCCATTGCTTGGAGTTGCTCCATCTCATCTGGCCATACATTCCTTTTCTTTTCTGAGGTTTTTGTTGCTTTGCGTTGCTGTAAAACAAGGGAAATGCGAATTCATAACGTACTATTAGTTCTGCCAGGGAATTTCCCTTGGCTTTTAAAATTTTCTTTGGAATAGCTCATGTTCTTCACAATGCAACATGTTAAGTCAGATGCTCGGTGTTGTGCCACGGATACGTGATGTGCAATTCTGCGCTAAGTTACAATGGAAGAAAGTAAAGCTCTCCATCCTGGGGTATGTGTGTATATACGGCTTCTGGGGATTTGACTGACATTCGGTACAAAACAACATTCCATTTTTTCCTCCCCTGTTTGTTCAAACTACTGATAAAGGAAACTCGAGAGAACAGCAAAGCAGCTTTGAATGCTAGCCTGCAGTGTGGCTAATTGTGCTGTATACCACCATGGGTGTGTTTTTCCCTCCTCCGTCATTAGTCGATAAGAAAGGGGAACAGTTTTGAAAACCCAGAAAGAATATTGCAGCCCCCCTGAATTCTAGATTTCACTTTAGAGCACAGAGCAGGTTAGGTTGCTGTAGGAAACATACGAAGAAGGATTGCAGGAATTTGGCTATGTCTAGTCTAATGAAAAGAAGGACCGGAGGGGACATGATAGCCGTCTTCCAGTATTTGAGGGGCTGCCACAAAGAAGAGGGGGAGTCAACCTA